TGGGACAATTAACGCGCGATATATTTCGCGCTATTAACGTGTAAGCGGAGATTTAATACGTCTTAAAAATCGTTCCAAATTCGTTGAAGGAAGCTTATTTGCCATAACAGATTTGTTACTAGGAGCAAAATTTACAACTTTGTAGTTTAGATGGCGTGTGGGGGGATGATTTTCGCAAAAACCTCAAATTTTAACAAGTATATATTTTATTATTTTTTTTAATTTTATTTTTCATGTTATTACTGCTCCATAGACCTTAAAAGGTAGTTGGAACATTCAGTGCTTCGCCTTGATACGAGCAGTCTTGTTTAATTTTGAACTCGATAGCTCCACGGTTGTCTATAGCCCCACGGTAAATAAAACCACCAAATATTTATTTCGCTCAGGAAACGTACAACTAGTCGCCATTTCAAAAAAAAAAACCGATATCTACAGACTAACACTTGAGGCACTTAATATACGCCAGGGCACCAACGCAACCTTTTTCTTAGAAAATATAAAGCTATGGCAATTTTAAAAAACTTCAGTGGAACAACGTTTTAAATCATATCTTTTCAAAACAATTTTTTTTGATTTTCTTAAGACGCTTTGATAATTTTACAAAACATTATAAAAATTTACAAGCCTCTTTTATGTATAAAAATTGATTCATGCACCTCTAGCACAATCAGCAAGGCAAATCACATCTTATGCATGTGGCCCTGATTTTAGCAATTGCATGCTTAAATCCTTTCTTCCTCAAATCAATGTTTTTTGCATAAATGTGAGTTTACTGGTCGAACCCCTGAATGTTTCGACTGCCCTGTAACATCTAATGAATTACTTTTTTGAGATAATCTTTTTGCTAAATTTATAAAAGAGATGACAGGCTAAGTAAAGCACTTTATCCCCACACGCTAAGTAAATTGTAAGCTGATGTTTTAAGCGTCTAGTATTGTATTAGTATGCCCAAATAGTTTGCCTTAAGTCAACTTGGAGCAACTTCGAGCCGGATTGAATGTTTTAGATTTTGTTGAAGCCCTGTGGAATCTTAACGATAATTAGTAAGTTTGTTTGTTTTGGCAATCACGTTTGGTCCACCAGTGTTTTGGCCGCGACGGGATAGACAGGGAATGGACTTTAGCACTGGACTTCGTCCAAGTTTGCTCTCGTTTTGCTGTACTGTTTACAGTGCAGCAGTCTCCAATTATTGCCCTACCGTGCTAGGCGATCCGGCTCAAATAGCCGCTTCATCGTTAATAGCCTGTAGTATATCGCTCGTTAAATGTTCAAAGTTAAGCAAATTAACAAACCTCAAACCCCCATAACTTTACGAAAAAAGATCACAAGTACTTTTCAGAACTTTGTTTGTATTAAAAGTTCCATTGAAAAGTCTAGTTGTCTGAAAATTATTTGAAGACAAAAACACATCGAGTTCAAAAATTCAATCATTTTCTTTGAAAATTAGAGAAAAACTCAACTAGAACCAAAGAACGTATTTTACTCTTTCTAAAGAATTTACAAAATCAGCAAGACTTGAATGAAAACAACTATTCGATTGCCAAAAATTTATCGCAGAATAATTATTGAAGTAATAGAACGCATAAAATATACAAATGAAAAATAAAAAATATAAAAAAACTAAAATCGAGAAGGTTTCGTAATTTTAGATTTTTTCGGTTTCAAATAGACTTTAGTAACGCAATGCTTAAATCTTGTATGACTATTTTTCTGGTTAATTGGTCCTAATTGAAAGGCCTTAAAATTAAATGTTGAATATTAACGGGAAAAAGTTTATTGCAAGGGTAGTAACAATAATCACATTTGAAAAAACCAGATCAATCTGCATGTTATTTCGTTGGTAATTCCATAAATTCGGTCTTTTTTGTAAAAAGGATCTCAAGCTGGGTTGTATTTAGAAAATTATTTTGTGAGGTGAACTTCAACAGCAGCAAAATTTTAACAATTGAAACAGAAAGTTGACAAAGAAAAAGCTGGAGAATTTTTCTGAAAAAAAAAACCAATAATGTCGCATAAAAAGTTAAAAATTCAATTTAATTTTTCTCAAGATTGTAAAAACGATAGTGACTCCTTTGAGAAGCTTGAACCACGGCTGTCAGGATATCCGGAAAAAACACACTCGACAAAATTCAAGTTTTTTGGGATATTAAATTTTATAACCCGAATTTCTACCAATCCATGAGTAGCCGACGAAAAAGTAACCACATGTAATGAAACAGTTCACTTGATAATTAGACCTTTGCAAACAATAAATTTTGACTAAAACTATTTTCAAATACTAATTTTACGACGCTGATTTCTGCATGAGTCGAGTGATTTTCTCTAAACTATGCAATTAATGTTCAGACGAATTGAGAAGGAACTAAACTATGGCATTGGATCTGTTTTTTTTTCAGCGGATTTGTCTCCTTTAACAAAAAACTTGTGAGGTTATCACCTTGTGAGCCTTTTCAGCCGTGATTGGCATTCGAAAAGAAAAATTTGAAGTTGTCTCATTGTCGAGAAAAACTGGTCTGATTTTTTCGCTTTTCGGATAAAGGATTTATAAAACAATCTAAATTTCACGACTTTTTTTTCAAAGTTTTATCTACTACTAACTAATTCTTAGATCTCATTGACCAAAAGTCTCTTCTCACTAACTAAGAAACTAACAAAAATAACTGATTAATCACTTTTTTTGTTTCGACCATGTTCGACTTTTTTGCTTCGAAAATTGAAAAAAAAAACGACAACCAAAAAAAGGATTTTATTGTTACTTAAGAATTTACAAAACTACCAAGACTTCAATGAAAACAACTATTCGATTGCTATGAACGTATCATAGAATAATCTGTCTAGTTACCGAAGTAATAGAACGCATTAACTATATAAATGAAAAATTTAAAAAATCATAAAAAATTGGAATCGAGAAGGGTTCGGTTCGTAACTTTCAGATTTTTTCCGGTTCCAAATACACTTAAGTAACGCAATGCCAAAAGCTTGTATGACAATTTTTCTGGTCAATTGGTCCTAATTAAAAGGCCTTTAGAAAAAACTTTGACTATGAATGGGAAAAGTCTAGAACACGATTGCAATACCTTTGCTTGTCGCAAGCGTAGTAGCAAAAATCACATTTGAAAAAACCAGATCAATCTGCAAGCTATTTGTTGTATTTAGAAACTACTTTTGTAAGGCGAATTTCAACAGTAATACCGAGAAAGTAGAAAGTTTACAATGAACAATCGTCTTCTCTCACTAACTAAGAAACGAACAAAAAAAACACTTCTTTGGTTTTTTGTTCCAACCATTGAAAGTGAGGAACCTTGCGGAGGTGCTTTAGTTTTTTGCTATTTTTTCAGCGAAAAGTCAAATTTCATAAAAACTATTCAGATTGGGCCCTTTAAATAAAAGTCCTTTTAGCCGTAAAGCAACTGAAATTCAAAATTCTAAGAAATGTAATCTGTGTCGAAAAAAGCTTAGAAAATTTTGCTTTTTTGTCTAAATTCGAGCAATTAACATTTGTTAAGATAAAAATTGGTTCATTTAACGCTTCCATGGCAATAAAAAAGCTGGGAAAAAAATCAAAAAATCTTCCAAAATAAATTCAGACATTTTTTTAAGTTAGATGTAGCCAATTATGATTAGTTTACTAAAACTCTGAGCTTTCGTTATCGCACTAAAACGACGCAAATATGAAAAAAAATTTCTCTGAGTTTTTTATGAATGTAGTCGAAACCTTCTGTGCGCTACTTTACTCTGCAAACAACCGGCTTTACTTCTCTGTTTTAGGAAACTGTTAAGTGTTATGACTTACAGAATTCCAATTAGAACAAAAGCACTTGGTTGCTGCGCACCTAACACAGAATATTCCGATCATAAATTCACTGTATTGATTTGAATTTATCAGTGTAAATTCCAGTGTCTTCAATTTCATCACAAGATGTTTTAATTTGGTAGAACTTGAGAAGTTTAAATCTATCTACTCTACGAAACGCTTATAAACTAAATATAAGACGGGAATGGCAATAAAGCAAGTACATTGGAATTTGCGTTTATAATGAAAAAACATCTTGGGATACATTTTTAGAATCCACACTAAAGCTGATTAGCTTCTGACAGGGGCGGATCTAGGATTTTCTCGAGGGGGGGGGCGGATTTCCAAAAAATTTTCCAAAATGCCTTCTGATATAATATTTCGCGCGGCCGGATCGGACGTTTCGACACAGTATAGAAAAATGCTTCCGAGTCATCTGGTTCTTCTCACCAAGATTGCTGGTCTCAACAAAAACCACTCCATTTTGCCTTTTTGCTCCGAATTTCGAAAGACGAAATATTTTTGCTCGGGGTATTTTTTTCGCCAGATCAATTTCGACTTTTTAAATAGCCAATTTTCATTGTTTTGATTTATGGGAGTTTGAGAATTTATGGGAGAGATCACTTTTTTGAAAATTTATGGGAGTTTGAAAACTCCCAATTGGGCTTATTTGCAACAATTAACTCGCGACATACATCGGGCTATATACGTGTGAGCGGCAATTTAATCGGCTCAAAAATCGTTCCAAATTGAGTAGAGGCAAAAAATTTTGTATTATTACTGAGCACCTTTTGTTTTGAAAAGTTTGTCAGTATTTTCAATTCATCGAGAATTAAGGGGCAGTCGGCTCAGTTGTGGCTTCACCCTGATGCGAACTGTTTTGTTAATTGGCTGTGTTTAGGGAGTATCAAAATATGAAATTCATCTAATTTTTATAACGTAAAACTAACTACTCGAGGTCAGTTAAAGGGCAGTTTAAACATTTAAGGCTTTTCCCTGATATACGAATAGTCTTGTTTTCTTCGGAAGCTTTTTATAATGCAGATAATCTGAACCTTTCTTCATCTACAAATAAAACGCGTGGCTGCGCAATTTTTCTATTCACAAACATAAATATCAATTAATCATAATTAAATTTATTTATTTTTTTTTACTAAAAAACATTTTTTTTTGAAAATTCATTTCAGCATTCTTCATGGGGTTCGTTAACTATTGCTTGCCCCGAGGCTGCTTTGTTGCAACACTTGCTCATGATGAAAGTTCTAATTTGTTTGAACTGTTTGCACAAGTAGCTGCTGCAGAAAAAATACAACAGAGGATTGATGACAAAGTTCAACAGGTAAACTGTTTCAGTCATGGCGTAAATTTGCAGGACAACTTGTGGCGATATCACTTCGCTTGAGGAAAAATAGTTCACGACTTGAAGGATGAGCTGAGGAAGAACAATCACCACATACAGGAGACAAACAATAAAAAGGGAGAAAGTAACTGTGTTTCTGGTTTCGTGATTTCTTTCGTTTCAATGCCTTTTTTATCTTCGCCTGATGCTTACTTAAGCGACTGGCACGTTTTTCTCCGTTGGGTTGAGCAGAGTCGCTCTCTTTGCTTTTTCCTTTTTTCAGATTCACTTTTTCACATGATTCGTACACCGCCTCCGATTTATTTGAATCTAGAAGAATGTCATTGGTCGAGCCATGAGTCATGCAGTACTCTTCATTAATAGACATGGCTGAATAAACACTAAATTGACCCACGGAAATTTCCGACAGCTTTTTGCATCTCGAATCAATTCCGTTTTCAGATTCCTTTTCCGGATCTTCAATCACATTGATCGATATTTGCGAAGTGTTTTGACTGCTTCGGTATTCGGAGCAAACACGATACAACGCAGCTTTTCGTTCTACTGTCGACATTTTCCGTTTTCGATTTGTGACAAGTTCAAAGGGATCCGAAATGCATTTAGAAGAGTGCTCAATTGGCAGATTGATAGACAACTTCTGTCGTGCTCTCACTGATTTGTCAACAGTTAGCTCGTCTTCGCTGGCAAAATTTTCATGGCTATTCGCACGAAATTTCTTGTCAATAATAGTTTCTTCGCGTTGCTCTAAAGGAAAATCCACAACAACTCTAGTTGAAATATGTTCATTCGCTTCAGCTTTTGTCGCGCCATTCGAATTCCCGTTTTTGGTGACATCTTCCATTTTCAACTTGGTGTCTGCCGCCATTCCTGCGTTTATAGCGTTTTCTTGCTTGTCAGCTGAATTAGCGGCCGGTTTGTAGGATTCCCGAGAATGCAAAATCTTGGGATTGTACAAAGGCGCAAGAAACGAATGAGCGAAATAGTTTGAGATACCCTTGTAGACTGCATAGAGTGACGCCCAACAAACTGATACGAGAAACACTCGCGACATTAGCCAATAACGGGGATAGAATTCGCTCAGCCAATCGGAGAGCTCAAAACAAATGAGGACTTCGGGTGAGCTATGGATTAAAACGAAGCTTGTCATTGCCACAAGCCAACGAACGACATGCGAGACTGAGAACCAGGTCTGATATTTCCAAGACATTTTAACGGCTACATAACGGTTAAAACTGATTGTTATAACTAGCAGGAAAGACATAGTTGTAAGAAAAGTGTAAGGAAAATATTCGAACGTGCATAACAGTTTTTGAGAGAAAAAGTTTATAAGAAAATTCGATAATTCGGTTTTGACGAGAACTACTATGCAAATAAGAAACTCCAACAGCGCGTTGGCACAAATCAAAATCTCGCTGGCCATTAGCTTCTTTTTTAATGCGAACATAATAAACAAAATCAAATTAAAAATACAAGCCAGAACTCCAAGAAACCGTTTTAGAGAAGAGTCAATTTCTGTCAAAACTGACACAGAAGTTGAATAAAATAGTATTTTCGACTCGTTATTGAGTGAAGAAGAATTTGTATCATTCAAACTGCCCAGAATTAAAAATGGTTCCTTTTTCGGTCAAACAAAGTCAGCGTTGAGCGGTAAGGTTATACAGGTTAGCGAGGAGAATTACCTTCAAAATAAAACTGGGAGGAGAAAATTTCAAATCAGACCTCATTTGATTATTAGTTCTACTAATCCCAGATGGTTAAAACAGGCACTGAGAAACAATATGTAAAGGAAGATAATTCCGGTGAAATTATAAACTGCAGTCAAGTTTTACTAATGGGTAATTTGAAATGCAGGAACTGCACGGGTAGCGCTTAATAGGATGAAATTCACTAACATAATCGACACCTAATTAGGTCTTTCTGTGAATTCGAATTAAAAAGAGGAAGTTATAAAAATGAAACCCCCCTAATAAAAATAAAAATAAATCTCATCAATAGTCATTAAAAATATGAACATTATTGAACCACGAAAAAACTAAGGGTTTGTGATACTTTTTGAACCAATGAAAGCAAAGAGAAAAAAATTTGGCCTTAGGGGTTTCAGTCAAAATAGACAGTTTTCATCTATAACATCATTTTTACTGATAGTTATGACTGGATGCCAAATCCAACGATAAGAAGAAAAAAATCTAAGCAGGCAGTGAAACAGGAAAATATTGGAGTAAACAATTAACGCTTACTATTGCCACAAAAAATAAAATATACAATAAAAAATGGCAGTAATTTGACCAGGACTTCAAAATGAAATTCATCAAAGCAGCAGTGGGACTTAAGGCTCAAAGCTTTCACATAAACAACCGAAGAATAAAATAAAACAGTGCGCTCTGATTCAAAGAACTTCAATTAGTTGCTAAAGAGCACCTGCGCCTGAAAAAGCTTACGAAACAAAATTATACTATAGTAGCAGTGAGCTTTAATCAGTTCTTAATTAACCAAACATAGCTCGAAAAAATTCAAAAGCGTTTTCTTCAGTTCAAATTTTTTGGGACTTTTTTAAACGCTATAAGATAAATTTTAAAATTATGGCGCAACTGAGGGGCGTTATAAGGAAGCAATTTTGCCGATTTCTTTTCCAAGTTTGCTGTGAAAAGGCGGAATATTTCTTCTGTGGTTTTTTTTTCACCATACAAATTTTTGTGAAGCCTGAAAGATTTGAATGCCCTGAAATTAAAATTTACACAGAGGCGAAGTGGAGCTTCCTACCACTTGCGATACAATACAAACATAATAAAAAATAGAAAGTCGGGAAGAAAATGAAAATGTTGAAAAAACTAGGTCCACCAAAATTTGAACTTCCTCTTCGTAAAACTAAACTTACGAAGAGGAAACAAAGCAGGCAATTTTTGAGCAGACAATAATATCCGAAAAATATATAATTTAACACTTGCACTTGCAACTTCAATGAAAATTGCTAACAGCACAAGAAAAATCCGTGATAGAGCAAGTAAGCCGACCAACTTTGAGCAGACATCAATTGATTCGAAAAAAAATTTTCGAATTTTTTATTAAAAAGTTTCATGTCTCCTGAAACTACAATGAACAACAAATGCACTTGCAACTACAATGAAAGGTGATTACAGCATTAGAAAAAACCGCGATGTAGCAACTAAGCCGAAAAATTTGAGCAGACAAACGAAAGTTCGACAAGTCAACTTTCACAGGAAAAAAAAACCAGTTGCATACATACTGAAAAAAAATCCGACCGTAACTCGAAACCCATATGATAGGGTGCAAAGGCAACTGCGTTACCTCTAGGCCAAGTGGGATCGAACGTGGAAGTTGTTAAGGTTAAATAGCAAAGCAAGTTAAAAATTTGTGAAAAAAAGTTGTTTACGGGAAAAAAGTCTAATCGCGATTACAAGACACTCGCTCTCGCACGTGTAAAAATCAAAATAAAACCCATGCTTTACAAATTAATATTTGTAATAGTTATAAAAAAACAAATTACAAAAACCAAATAATAAAAGTTCCATTTTAATAAACGGAAAATTAGCCGGAAACTGACTACACCTATTGACTACCTAAATACAAGTAGTCTTAGTTAAAATTTCAAAAAATTGAGCATTTCTTCAAATGTACCATTCCTACAAATTGACCATTTTGTGAACAAAGTTATTTAAAAAAGTCTAGTACCCGATTGCAATACCCTTGCCTATCGCAAGGGTAGTAAAAATCCATCTGTCAATTAAATTTTTGAGGATTGAAAATTGCTAATTCGATCCATTATTTATAATTAACGCGCTATATGTTTCGTTCTTATCAAAGCACAGACAACATCTAGCTCATAAACAATTCCAATTGAATTGATGCACTCTATGTAAGTTTTTGTTTGGTTTCGGTATAGATTCGTAGGTTTGCTTTTGATTTAATTTAGTTGCAGAACAGATGCAGTGACTTGGAATGGTTAGCGTAGCATAAAAGTGTTATTATATTCGAGTTTTTAGAACAATATGACGAGGACCGTTCTCGAGATTAAGAATTTTATTGCTAGGTTTCTTAGCAATTTTTCGCTGCAAATTTCAACTGACTGGGAAATTGAGAGTGGCCGGTTTGACATTTAAATTTTTATGATTGCCTTTTTCGATTGAATGTCACAATAATTGATCTTTTGCCCCGTTGAGACGACAAGACAATTTCCAAGGCGCTGGATCCAATACGCTGGACAATTTAATTTCAATACGCTGGATTGCTCTGGTTTTCGTTAATTAAAACGAAATAATTTCTACCACTTTTAAGTATTTCAAAAAATTCGAGTTCACAACTGTGATTAATTAGTATTATTGCAGCCAACGGCTAAACATAGATAAAATCAAGCGCTTGCCTCGCCCGCCAATTTTTACTGGATGATTTCTAATCCACGGTTGAATAGCTTTTCTAATGAAGCTTAAAAAAGGAATCGCAGTTGGCAAATAACTCTAAAAAGTTACCAGCACACAAGGCTGTTGCACCCTTCCTAGCCTGGGGCATAGTAAGGAAAAAGCGCAACTGTGTGACCACAACGTGGTAGGGGTCAACCCTTTTCAACCCATCGCTTTAACATCTTCAACCAACATTTTCCAGAGACCTTGAAGGACATTCGGAACGCTCAGGGCTTTGCCCTGATACGAGCAGTCTTGTTTTATTTCAAAAACGCTATTCACCATGAAATCTTTGGCATTTTTTTGTTCATAAAATATACAAAAGCAAAAGATGGTTGTAAAAAAAGAACAAAAAACCAAAAAAAATATTTGAAAATTTCGAAGAAAAAAACATATCAAGTTAAATCTATTTCAATATCAAGAATTGTTTACAATTGGCGCTTTTCTCCAAATTTAGACCAATTAGAGAAAACTGGATCAATAGATCAAGTTTTTACTAAAAGTCTACTTCGAAATTGAAAGTCATTCAATTTTTTTTACGATTGTGTAGTTTGCCTTCGTTTCAACAAAAGGAACAAGACTACTGGTATCAGGGCGAAGCCCTGAATTTTCCGACTGCCTGTTAAGGTCTGTGGAGCAGTAATAATATTTAAAAATTCAATGTAAAAAATTTTTTAAAAATATTTGAGATTTTTGTGGAAATCATCCCCCCACACGCCATAGAAAATACAAACTGATAGACTTCCCTCCTAGAAACACAACAATTATGGCAAATAAGCTTCCTTCAACCAATTTGGAACGATATCTAAGACCGATTGAATCACCACTCACTCGTTAATAGCTCGCAATATATGGCGCGTTAATCAACCCAAATTTGCCAAAACCCCCATAGCTTTACGAAAAATGAGCACAGAAGAAACATCTTTTCAAGTTAAAGCTCAGGACAACAATACCTTTTGAATGATATAAAAAATTCCGTCAAACATGGCTAGCTAGTTAAAAAGTCAAAATTTGTCTGAAAAAAAAACACACCGAGCAAAAGCATTCCGTTACTTTCGTTACAAAAGTTGGAACAATAAGCCGAAACTCGAAGGAATTAAAAAACCAAACAGCTGAAAAAAAAACAAATTTGAGCGGAAAAAATTTTCAGACTTTTTCGTTTACTTGATAGTAACATTTTCGTTAACTTGAGCATAACAAGGACAGCCGGTTGCTTTGCTTTTTTGAGCGTAGTGGGATGAAAGAACTATACGAACGGGTAGAACGTTAACGAAATAGATAATCGACATTTGTCTTTGAATATTGAGAAAAAAAATTGGGACTGTTTTTTTTGTGCAGAATAATTTTAAATTTTTTTGCCAAGCAAGCGCTAAATGAAGCTTCCAAGGCTAGTTTTCCTTGAGCAAAACTAAGTTTTTCATTAGTTAAAAGAAAACTTTTTCTCATTTCGAGAGGGCAGGTCTTATACTCGCTCAAAAATAGACTAAAAAATCATACCGGTTTTTCTCTTCTCTGGGACATTTTTCCCCATGTCCTTCAAATCACGACTGAAAAGCTTTTATATGACATATCACTCGACCAATTCTGATGATTGTTTGCTGAACCTCAGTTTGCTTAGAAAGGAAAAAAAGAAAACACACCTGAAGACAAAGTTCCTATCCACTTTCAATGGTTGAAACAAAAACATTAAAGAATGCTTTTTACAATAATAGAAAATATCGAGTGGCGAAGAGATGGCGTGTGACGTTATTAAAATGATAAGCTTCAATTTTTCCGTTTTTATTTCACAGTTATCAAGTGGGAATCAAAAAATGAAAATAACTCAAAGCTGTCCATTGAAAATCGATGGCTTCCGTCTACAAAAAGTCTCTCATGCTAAAAATTATCATGTCTTAGTTTTGCTCAAATGGACAAAAGAAGTAAAACTAACGGAAGAGATGGAAACGTATGTACACCAATCAGTTTTGTCAAAGGTCATTGTAACAAACTTCACCGACTAATAAATTTCAGACAACTTTACACTGCGTTTATTTCAAGGATAATTCACGCCTTCATTAAAAAATGAGTGTAAAATTAGTATAACAAAAATTGTACAGTTAAACGCAAAATCATTCACAGTTAGTGATTTGATCTGCAAAAAAAGGCGCGATTAAGATTGAAATTATCAGATTAAAACCGAAACCGAGGAGATAAGGGATTCCTACAGATTAAACTGACGGAATCGATTGAAATAAGATAAATACAATAAAATCAGCCTGGTTTGCTTGACTTCATATAAAATTTATGTTTTATATTCGATAAATTTGATTTGCTGAAGAAAAGAGAAACAATATCCTCTGTGACCATAAAATTAAAAATAACTAACCACCATTGCCTGCAGTTGATATGCGCTAAAGGGAGTCAACACGAAAGGGTAAAACTGTCCATAAAAGAGGAAACGCAAATTTAGATTCCAATTTATTAGAATTCTTACAATTTACGGATGGTTTTATAGCTTTGAACTTTGATTAAAGCATAATCAAAGTACGAATCCTAAATAGAAGCAGCTAACCAGCAGTAGATCATTAAAAGGTTGTGTGTATGAGAAAGAAACATTTCAAATAAGGGGCGGATTTAGGGGAAGCGGTTAAAGTGGACGCCCCCCCCCCCCCACGGATTGGCCTCCTGCCTACCCGAAGGGTCCCCCTTTGTACTATTTTGAGATATCCATTTTTTGTTACAGAACCTAAAAGTTTTCTAAATATTCTAACTTTGAGGGGGGATCGCGCGCCGATAAAAAAAGGCCACAACTGTGTTATAAGAAAATTTGACCACAACAGGGCTCCAAAAATCAATTTGATCGACAAAATTTTCGAAATTTTTGAAAATCCGCCCCCCTCAAGAAAATCTTAGATCCGCCTCTGTTTCAAATAAAGCAAAAACTAAGCGAAGATTTAAAATAAGAGGTATTTAATCTTGAAAAATGGCTTACAATATTGTATATTCAATATTGGACGAATTTACTTGAGGAAAAAATTAGAGCAAAAAAAAACTGGTAGGAAGGAAAAATTGATCACTTGTTTTTAGCCTTCGACAGGGTATGTTCATTGATCTATATCTTTATCTTTCAGCCAAATTTTTTAAACAAAAAATCTAATTGAAAGCAACTTTTCGCAGAATGGCTTTGGCCTTCATTCAATTCTAATTCAATGTTTCTTTCAATATTACTAGCCTCTCAAGCACCTCCGGTGCTTCAAACAGATAAATGAACGCAAAAATTGTTTATATATAAAATGTAAGAAAAAAACTACGACATGAAGGCAACCGTAACAATAGACGAGGGAATCCAACGACGCTTTTGATTTAAAATTTGAACAATAAAAATGATTTCAACATCAAAGTTTTTTACAGTAAAACGGTCAAAGGTTCACATCTTCGTACTTTTCTCTCATGAAAAATGGCCGACAGCGTAAAACGGCACAGTTCATATTTAAAAAAAGATTGAAACAATTTCATTTGAGAAATCAACATATTCAAAAATGGGATTCATAATCCAGCGTAATTACAGTTAAAATATCAGACTCTTTTTTCTTAACATAATTGTAATAATAATGAAAAATTATGAAACATCATAAAATGCCAATTATTTTATTAACTTAATTAACTGAGCAATAATATTAAGATAAGAGACAAAATCTGCAGCAGCAGGTAGTAACCTAACATTACCCCACCAACAAAGTATCGACAATTTCACATTTTAAAAAGTTTTTTTTTTGAAATTCAACACTTAAAAATTTCAAACAAGATAAAATCTCACATATAGGAAAATGAAAGGCATTGAGCAGTCATGTTTGAAGTCCTCATAAACATTCTGAGAGTACCCCGCCATGGTGTTGAGTACTTCAAACTTTTTTAGAGCTGAAGTTTTTAAAAACTTTTAAAAAAGCTTATGTCTGAAACTAAGATAATTTGAGCAATCAAACTTGGAGGCAAAATCTGCAACCTCTGAGAATTCCCTGAGACCACCCCACTATAGGTTTGGGAATTTTCAATTTTGGCATATTTTATTTTTTTCAAAAATTTTGAAACACATCATATCTCAAAAACTGCAGTCAAATTGGATTAAAGAATTGCAACGCCTGAGAGTACCCTGAACAGCACTTCGAACTAGAGTTGAAACTTACAACTTTTGATCCAGTTTTTTTCCTTATCTTAGAGATTCGAAATTTAAAAAAACGTCATATCTCGAAAATAAAAATATTTGACCAGTCATGTTTTGAGGCAACATTTGCAACCCTTGAAAATATCCAACTACAGGGTCGAGAAATTCAACTTTTGTCAAGTTTTTATATTAAAACTCTTTGAAAATTTTTGAACAAATCATATAAACTGTCATATCTCGGAAACTAAAAGGCATTGAGCAGTCATATTTAGAGGCAGGATTTGCAACGCCTGAAAGCACCTTGACACCACCCCACACTTTAGAGTTGAGAATAATCAGTTTTTTCCAGATAATTTCTTTGAAATTTTTTTTTAAAAAACGTCTTATCTCGGAAACCAAAACTATTTGAGCAGTCATTTTTTGAGGCAAGATTTTCAAACCCATAGAGTACCCTAACAACACCCAACTACAGGGTTCAGAAATTCATATTTTGTCGATGTTTCAAATACACGTTTTATGAAAAATTTTGAAAAATTCACAAGAATCGTCGTATCTGCTAAATTGAAAAGATTTAGGTATTCATATTTGGAGGTTCAATTCGCAACCTATGAGGAAACCCTGACAGCATCCCACGTTTGGGTTGCTAATTTGAAACTTGAAGAAATTAACATTGCATTAAAGGTGAAAAATCGAAAACATTTTTTAAGCATTGCAATATACGATATAGCTTGAACGCGCAAAAATTCTTTCGTTGAACACGCAAAAATACGTTCAAAAGCTTAAACATGGTGAGATAGTGAAGCTCGCAATTAAATATCTAACAGACAGATTAATCATAGATAAAGGATTTTAAAATCAAAGCATTTCAGCCGACCAGCTGCATTCGAATAAATTTTCACCCCGCTATAGGGCTGGGAATTTCAAATTTTAACATGTTTTTCTTTAATTCATTTTTTTTGAAAAATCTTGAAAAGTATGGAAAACACGTCATATCGCGGTAACTAAAAAAAATTAAACAGTCAAATTTGGATTGATGCAAGATTTGCAACGAGGAGAAGCTTAAACATAGCGAGATGGTGAAGTCAGCAATTAAATATGTAATAATAGATAAAAGATTTTTAAAATAATACATTTCAGCCGACCAGCTGCATTTGAATAATTTTCAAACTGAGCCTTTTTAAGCAGATATCCCAACATTTCAATCAGACATTCAATCAAACCTGTCAAAAATGTAAATTAAATATTCACTTTTTTTTAAAAAACCCAAATTTCAGAGACCAAATGAGAACATTTATTTTATTTTGTGAGATTATTGAAATCCTCTCGCAAGCTTTTTCAAAAACTTAGACCAAAATCCATAGTTCATAAGTTTTGGAATCTGATTAAATAGGCGGTAATCTAAATCATTCCAAATGAGGCAACTATGGTGTCAGTTTCAAAGTCAAGAGAAAGAGAAAAAAATGGGTATGACAAGTTTTCTGATCATCAGCAAAAAAAAACATATACAAAAAATAAACCAGCAAAAATTTCAGTGTGACTCCAACTCAACTGACGTTTAAAATTGGCTGGACTGCATTAATTTTCTCAAAGACAGGCAATGAAAACCATTTGTAAATTGTATATAAAAAGTAAAAGTCAAGAAAACACTATTTTCAGATTTATTTTTCTGATAAAAGAAATTTATATATAGATTCCCAAGAAAAAAAATTTCGTTTAACAATTTCAGCTAGAAAAAATCAAAACCCAATTGTTAAATTGAAAATGCTCAGCCTACCCACAAACTTTTAAAATGAATCAAAATCAGGAATCTTTTTGCGGTTTAAAACAATTTTTGTTCAACAAAAACTTACAATGGACATGAAAAACCATATTATTTTAAATAGATATGAAGCGGAGATCAATGGCCATTTTTCATTTCTAAAATTAGAAATTTCGATCAGACAATAACGACAACTTCACAGAACGCAGTTGAACCAAATCAGCTGAACGTAAAAACTGAATAAAAAATTTAACAAAAAGAAAAAACTATACCGTTGTATTCATTAAGTAATCTTAACTATGCAAAAAAAATATCGAAATTTTTTTGAAAAAAATCGCGAAAATCAACTCAAGTTGACATTTTAGAACAATAAATATTTCTAGCAGCTTGGCTCAAAATTATCAATATTGAACTAAATAATTTCGAATTTGATAGAATGCCAGGATTGCTAAATACAAGCGCATCAAATAAATCGACTACGTTCGCACACAACATAGGCTAGAAATCAATGAAAACTTAACATTTAAAATCAATTGTTGACGAAAAAATAGCAAAGAAAAATTCTTTAAAAAGGACAAATCGAGAATTCAATTACCTGCACTCAAAACAAATGTTTCGCGAAGCGAACTAAAACAAAAAATGCTTTAGAAAGGACAACTCGACAATTCAATTACCTGCACTTTAAGAAAAGGTTTCGACCGAAGCAAACTCCAACAAAGAAAAAACAACTTTTTTTCAGAACAGTTTTAAAAATTTTTATTTTTATTTGTTTTGGCTTTCATTGCATAGGGTTTGTGAAATTGAGCTAGATTTCTCGGAAAACTCATTGAACCACTCTCAGATAAAACTAACGAAAAATAAAAAAGCCAAAATATTGGGAAAATAATCCGACAGAATTAAAGACAACTGACCTCCAGCAGACAAAAAAATAAACACAAACCTCTAAATCAAAAAGAACTGAAATGTAGAAAAACACAATTACAAAAACTTCATGATTTTGTCTCGATTAATGTTCAATTTCAGGAAAACAAGACCAGCAATACAATCGCCGCCGGGAAATAAGTATTCGGAAACAGTTGTCCAGCGGCAAGTGGGCGGACAAACTTTGGTAAAATCCCGTTAAGCTGAAAAATGAAAAAAAAATGACGAAAAAAACGCCAAGACCGATTAAAGGGTTTCCATTGCGTTCATTACTTTTGAAAACAGGGCCTGAATAGATTCAAACCTAACACTTGAGCCGTACCAGGCGTACTCTTTACCTGTAAACCAAGTGTGGTAGAGAAGCTAAGACATTTGAATTGATTATAAGCGAAGCTATCAAATGATTTTGTTGATCAACTGATTTCATTGATCAAATGGTTATTCTGAAAATAGTTTATGTTCCGATTTGATTGTGCTTGTT